AAAGAAGAAATTATTGAAAAAAAGAGAAATTGTTAGATAACAAGTATTTAATACGAAAATCGGCATCAAATAAAACGGTCCATAACCAATAACAGCGGATTTCAATATCGAAATCAGACAATACTGTGAGGGCATCGTCGTCTGCTCTGTACGCTAACGCGCGTTCGGTCGAAGCGTTCCATCTAGTACGCGCGCTTCTAGATTCCGCGACTAATGCCGCTGTCCTGGTGGCCTCCTGATCAGTTCGCCTTATCGTGTTGATGAAGTAAGGTTAACCGAGGATGATTTATCCAAGCAAATGCGATAAACGAAATAGGGGTACAATGTATGTCTACGAGTACAGAGATGAATTTGTTCTGTTTTTGTAGTGAGTAGTACTACACAAATTGCGAAACGAGATCGACGAAAGACCGACGTGACTTGTATTTCTTCGGCGTCGACTCCCGGTAACAGTTCGGGCACAGTTTGCATAAATAAATGAAAGTATCCGTATTCTCAGGTGTGTATCTGTTTATTTATACAGTGAAAATAAAATAACTGTTGGTTCTCCTTCTAGGATAGCTAACACCCACTTGCTTTCCGGTCATGTTCGTAAGTTTCGTTTCGTTTGGCTTCAAAAATTCCGTCAAATCCCCGCCCTCCCGTGGAATTTCAAATAACTATTACACAGACAGGACAGTTGCCAATAGTATCTACCTTGATTGTTTGAAAACACTAGTGGGATGGGGAAACGATACAACTACACACATGTACCCCGGGTACGCACGACTGTGGTACGCACCCCTACGCACAGTCGACCCAGCTGGACCACGGCGGCGATCTAGCGTAGTGTAGTGCAAGGCCGCGGTGGACACCGATACGGCGTACCAGTCACGGTGTGCCTTTCGCTCGGGCGATCACTGCAATGCTACTCCACATCACACATAAGTCACTCTGTCACTCGCAATGTAAATGAGTTCAATACAATAGAGGAGGGGCAAGGGGATAGCTGGTACAGTTTTACGGGAAATAAAAATGGCTTTTTACAATTTACAAGGAAAAAAAGACGTTTTTACAGTTTACAGTGAAAATTGAATTTTGCAGTGAATTGTGTCATCTAGTCGTTTTACAGTTTCGAAAATGTAATTTCCCTGGATTATTCTGAACGACTTTTTTTACTTTGATGTAAATACTTGTACGTACCGAGAAAAGTAACACATTTTTACAGTGTACGAAAAAAATATTTGATCGATTATGTTGTACGTCTAGCCTATGATTACAGAATTACGGAATTTATTTTTTCAATTTATGTTGTACGAACAAAAAAATATTGCAATTACGTTGAACGAAAATAACCTTTGCCCCCCCCCCCCCCACAATAATATTTGATGGATTAAAACTAGATTCTTTCTTAGTTTGCCATATGAGATTGTGTAAACAATTTCCAGAAAGACATTTTAAATTATTCACATTCACGGGCCAGTGACTGTGAAACTATTCCGTTCACTGTAGATTTTTCTCCAAATTTTCCGCTTTTTAGAGGCAGCAAATCCACTGGTAATGACAACGCTATAAAATAATAACAATAATGAACTCCCCGACAACTCATAATGGACTCAAGCACACTTTGTGCTCCATATATGTACTCGGCTCACGCCTCGTACATATATGTCGCGCAAAGTGAGCTTTCACCCATTATGGGTTGGCGGGTTGTTCATTATTGTTTAATTAAATCCTGATGTCTGTATTACACTTAATATTTTAAAATTCTAATTATTCGACATATCTTGGTTGTTGGTTTGTTTTCAAATTGCTATCATGGTCAGATATTTTTGTTTAAGTTGAATTGGAATGTTAAGGGAAGCGGCAAGTTGCCCTCAGACGAATTTGAATATTTGGGTGTTTCAGATATCGGAGTGCACAATTGTTTTCAAACAATTTTTTAATTTGTCCAACCAAAACATGCCAGAGCACGGACGTACCGGCGTTTACCTATGTTCGCTTAATGGCTAATCACGTAATGTGTGAAGGCCATGAACCAGATTCATATATAAAAGCGTAAACTTGTCACCAAGCTGTCGTTGAAACCGTAAATATGTCCATGCCCCTGAAACATATTCCATTATAACAAGGTGTCCTGTATGCGAACGAGATAGAGTGCAACTAGTGATTGTGTCTCTGGGTAGATTCCGATGTCAGTTTCAGTGTTTACATCTGCGAAATGCACACATAGCCTGATTGCCATATCAATTTAATTACACCTTGTCATTCAATACATGTGTAATAATATAATAATAATAATAAAGTCACTTTTGACAATTGTTCGTTATGCCTGCCCGAAAAACTGTTATTTATGTTTATTATTAAGATCGTATGGTATGACGCACAACGTGACGAAACCCACATTGAATTTTACCATAGTAATTGCAATAATTTTAGAAATGTGTATTGAAAATTAAGTAATAAATTGTAATTACCCTAAGATCCTCGTACCATATACCTTTCTTGTTACTTAATCCAATTCATATAATTATTCGCATCTACTGCCTTAGGAGAAATTATCATCAGACTACATGTGATGCTTTATATTTCCCAGGCTATTCGCAATATTTTTATATTAAATACGCTATGCTCTTATAATATATGGTGGTGTTTAATGGCATGAAAAATTTACTCTCATTTGCAGGTGTTTACAGGTAATACGGACCGAGATACCGTTGTACCTAACTCGTTGCCACGAGCCGTGGAAGCAGAGGCTATTCGCATCCATCCACTCGGTTACATCGGCGGTATGTGCCTACGAGTTGAAGTAATCGGATACAGAATGGGTGGGTAGATTTATAGAATTTGATATAATATAAACCGCTGCCATTGTTTGCAGCTAGATCATTGTATGTGAATAGACAATTCAACGGATGGTTGTAGATAAGGGATTGAGAGGTTTGGATAAAATAATTGCATAATTCAAATATATATTCTCTGCACATTCACATGAATGCAACTCAAACAAAACGGTCGATACATTTTGCCGCTGTTCACGGAGCACTGCGTTTATGTGGTTCACAGTATGAATTTGTATACACATGGTTAGAGCGAGTAATAATATATTGTATTATGGCATGTTTTTTTATGCAACAGCTACCTAACTGTATCCGATGTGTACATACAATTTCCAATCTTTGTATTTAGGTAAAACACAATGGCACCCAATGCATATAAACTATTAAAATAAACCTTTAATTTTAAATATTGTTACATACGACAGTCCTTGTGACTGGTATGGTAAATATTTCTTTATTGACTAGACGGTAATTCGAAAGAAAAAAAAACCGTCGCTACAGCCACAAATTACCTTATGCTTCTGTGCATTGACCCTATCAAGTTCTTGGTCCTATCTAAATGGCATACAAATAGTTATCCGACAGTTAATAAAACAACCAACACCAGAAAGAAACTCCTAATTAACTCCTTGGCGGAAGTCATTAATTTGTTGATAAAGTGCAAAAAAACATACCAAACCGTAGATCTATGGGGGAAATTCAAAATTCAAATTCAAAAAAAACGAGCATACAAAATAAACGATTCAAAACAATTGCCAAAACAATCTACAAAATCAACAGTATCAAGTACACTACACTACACTACACTACACTACACTACACTACACTACACTACACTACACTACACAGTTAAATCACTAAACGAAAAATATATGAACACCATGGTATATAAATGAAGCGATGTCAGTTGTAGAAAAATAACTGAGCACATCCTGTCCCACATGTGGTACCCGTTATATACCAATCTGAGTAAAAACACATAATGGTTTCTGCATAAAACGTGATGTTTACATCGGACAACTGACAGTAGTACAAGTTGAGATCATCGTTATTGCATTAACCACAAAGTCATTATACCTGCAAAAACGTGTTTAATGTCAAGGCCAGTCGGATTCCACAAAGTCCTTGGTATCATATTTTTGGACAAAAAAGACAATGCCTTTTCAAAAAATTTGGATATGTACTTCAATCTCAGACATAGAGAATTATAATTATTAGAATGGAAATGTATATCCAATAGTTAGGAGACAGTGTACTACTGCAACAAAGATAACGATAATGAATTTATGAGAAAAAACAACTGATGATATATTCTGGTAGCGTGCTGATTAACGGACGGATCTAAGTATGGCACAGAAGGTAGAAAATCAGAACGACAAAATAGAATTACATTTGCCAAAATCAATAATATGGAGAACCTAAAGATAGTCTTCAATATCTAGCATATTAATAACCTGAACAAACAATTCAAATCATTCACTACTAGCTAGACCTCCATGATACAAACAGACTCGAAAATAACTTACTAAACCAACACCTTTCTGTGTACATAAAGTAGCGGTGGTATATGTGCATAGATATTTAACTTTCAAAAATAGTAACATTACAGTGTTCATATTTAGAGAAAATAGTGAAATGTAAAATGAAACGGAGCTTTATGAGTATTTTCTAGTTAAGTGCTCACAAACTCATGAAAATGGTAAACCACTTTAAAATCGGCTTCTTTTTACTTTTCATCATTTTTTACAATTTATATGCAAAGTACATACCTCCATTCCGATTAGGTGTTTAATTGCAAAATGTTATAGTTATAGTTAGAAGAAGAAATCTGAATTTTGAGTTTTTGTAGCTATTGAAATATGTTTGAGCTTCACTCCGAGACGATAGCCACAAATACCA